CAATAAAGATACGTTGTTCATATAGGAATGAATATCTCTGAACTGACAAGATCCTTCTTTTCTAATTTTTTTAAATGTTTATTTATTTTGGAGACAAGGAGCATGCCCACATGTGCAAGTGGGGGAGAGGCAGAGAGCGAGAGGGACAGAGGATCTGAAGCAGGCTCTGAGCTGACAGCGGAGAGCCTGATGTGGGGCTCCAACTAGCTAACCGGAAGATCTTGACCTCAGTCGAAGTTGGATGCTTAACAACCCCAGCAACCCTAAACTCACAAGATCCTAATGAATTCAGATTTCAATTAAAAATATAACCCTAAGGGCGCCTGGGGGGCTCTGCCAGTTAAGCATCCGACTTCAGCTCAGGTCAGGATCTCACAGTTCGTGGGTTCAAGCCCCTCATCAGGCTCTGTGCTGACAGCTAGCTCAGAGCCTGGAGCCTGTTTCGAATTCTGTGTGTGTCTCCCTCTCTCTCTGCCCCTCCTCTGCTCACGCTCTGTCACTCTCTCGCTCAAAAGTAAATAATAAATGTTAAAAAAATAAATAAAAAAATAATCCTAAAGTTTCTGAAAACCCTGTCTCCCTACTGCAGGTGTGATGGAAAACATTTGGATTTGCTGGGTCATGTATGCAGAGGTTGGCATCCCAGAGACCGAAGAAGATTTCAGGGGCATTCTAGATGTGGTATGGATAAGTGTTCTTTTTCACATCCACAGCAACAACACCAGCAGTAAAAATAATCTTGGAATAACAAGAATCCAGAGTCCCTGTCAAAGGCCCTCTTGAGATAATATTTAATGTCACAAAATTCCAGCAGAGCCAACAGTTTGGATCCCTCTAGAGTTTTAACATATTCGACTTGTGTCTTCTTCTGTCTTTGACATATCCAACCAAGAATGTCGAGGCCCTGTTGCCTCGCTTCTAGAGTCTGCTTAGCTTTAAGTGGTGAAAATGAAGGCCTAAACTAAATGTATAATATTTACAATGGGAACACTTGACTTGTAGACAACAATGAAATTTGGGAATGATCCTTTCATGATTAACTGACGACTACCAAGCTCTCAGAACATTTTGCTGTTCTGTGCTCCACATTCTATTCCCATGGGTCCCTGTTCCTTCAACACATGTGGGCAGCTTCATTTGTGTTAATAGGAAGTATACATTCACACAGAAGATCTCTCTAACTCCTGTGATGACAGAGTAAAATAACTTGAATTTCAATGGAATGTAATATTAGGTTAAAACAAATTCCAAGATGATATTCTCATATTACAAATTTAAGGACAAAGAATTAAGCGCCTTAGTTTTTAGGAAAATGTCTTTTAGACCGCTTCCAGAAGTCTTTACCCCAATCACTGATGGGTTGTTCCTGACTTTTGCCTTTGTTCATTTTTAGAGGCAAAGCACAAACCTAATATTATAAGAAAATGCTGTGTGCATATATCATGCATGAGCAGGTTTCTCTGAAATTAAGGTGTGACGTGTTAATAATGTGAATTTGTACAGAACTTTGTTGTACGATTATTGAGGAATGTCTAATTCTAAACATCCCACTTCTTACTCGAAGTCAATGTCCTCTAATATCTAGAATTCTATAAAGGAAAACTTTATCCACAGCATCTCAAATTTTTCTTTCCATTAATCTTCATATTTCAAGAAAAGATCCATTTAGTTTTCACTAGAAGGGATCAGGTTTTGGCTGAAAGAAATTTCATGCCTCAGAATGGCATCGCAGATGGGGTGCCTGGGTGGCTCAGTCAACTGAGCATTAGACTCTTGATTCCAGCTCAGGTCATGATCCTGGGGTGGTGGGCTCAAGCCCCACATTGGGCTCCATGTTGAGTGTGGAATCTGCTTAAGACTCTCTCTCTTTCCCTGGGGCACCTGGGTGGCTCAGTCAGTTGAGCATCAGACTCTTGGTTTCAGCTCAAGTCATGATTTCTGGGTTCATGAGTTTCAGACCTGCATCAGGCTCTGTGCTGGTAGCATGTAGCCTGCTTGGGATTCTCTCTTTCCCTCTCTCTCCCTGCCCTTCCTCTGCTCACTCTCTCTCTGTCTCTCTCAAAATAAATAAATAAAAACTAAAAATATATACATACACACACACACTTATATATACATATATATATCCCTTTCTCTCTCTGTACCCCCCTCCTCTCTCTCTCTCTAAAATAAAATTAATTAATTAATTAATTAATAAAAGAACAATGGGAGAAAGTCGTGTCTGCTGATAATTCTCTTCGGTGCAAAACACTGAGCAGGTAGGCATGCTTCGGAGCACCTATGGGTCTGACACCAGGGTGAAGCCGAGGGGCACAGGCAGTGAACAGGAGGGACCTGGCCCCCTCTGGGCCGGGACTCTGCCTGCCCTTCAGACTCAGGGGTCCTCACGGCTGACACAGGAGTCACCAGAGCAGTGTGGACCAGGCACCCTGGGGGGGCCACCCTCCTCTGAGGAGGCACTCACATCAGAATTATTTGTTATAGCACTAATATAATAATGCTTTATTACACCGAGTTCTCTCGCTAGGGCGCAGTGGAATTTTCCTGCGGCCACGTGACCTGTGACGTCACAGGATGGAATGCGGAGGCAGCTGGCTTCTATTAAGCCAGACATTAAAGAGATTTGCAAAAATGTAAAGCGTTGCTATTCTTTCGCGAAATAGTTTTTTTTTTTTTTCTGTTTTGGAAAATGCATTTACTTTCTATTTTAAAATGCGACTTACATGAACATGTCAGGGGTTTATCGTTTTGTTTTTGCTGAATTAGTACGTAAGCCTTTAAAAACAAATCTTCCCCCTTTTAATTTCTAGTATGGGAACCATCGACGGACAAAATCAACAAAAACCAGGGCTCTCCGTGGTCTTCCAGAATTTTTAAGAAGGTTAAGAAGTTGTGAGAGCAAACGTTTGAGAACTGCCAACGTGGGGGCGGGTCTCTGAGAAGGTCTTTTGACTGTAAAGCTCCGGGACACTCAGCTGTGGGATCCAGGGAGGGATGGCTATAGGTCCACCACCCAGGGAGGCAGATGGGGCTGCTGATGCAGGGCCGCCCCCCCCCCCACCCCCCGGCCGGGTCTCCCTCTTTGCCCCTCCTATAGCCAGCAGCCCACCCCCCACTCACACGGAGAAGACAGGTGGCCCCCAGCTCTGATCAGGGCACACTAACTTAGCTGCCAACCCCTCTCTCCATCCACATAATGACCTTATGCCGGGAGCTGCACCGGCCTCTCTGGATGGCAGTCACAGCAAGGAAATGGCAGTGTTTGCAGCTCCTGCCATAAGAAACGAAAACTGGGATCTCCTTCTGCTACTACTGGCTCATGTTGGAAATGAGCCTGTGGGTATTGACCAGGCCTCACAATATTCCCTATCAGACCAGTATTCTGAACACAGATACCACATAAGGAAAAGCATATTCCTGCCTTTACAAAAGAGATTTTAGATAAAAGCTCTATGGATCATTGTCACAAGGCTCTTCCTATGGGCCTTGCAGATCCAAGACTTAGATAATAAAGGGGGCTAAGAAAACAAGAGTACAACTGAGTCTGGTCCCATGTCAGAAGAACCTAATTTATAGTTACTTACTAACTGGTGATGTATGGCAGTCCCTTCCTCAAGGCCTACACTCCACGAACACCCTCCTTTACACTGGCAGCTGGGATGAGGTCAGACAAGAGTAATTAAAACATAAACCCAGATGCAAAGACTGATACATATAGAGCCCCCTTTGGTAGTTTCCACAAACAAACCAATTCAGAAACATTCATCCTCTTGAGAGCCAGACAGAATAACTCTTAGCTTATCTGTATACAACTTAACCTATATGTTATCCTGTTTTCCACTAAGAGCATCTTGCTATTTTCTTGGTCGTAAATTCACTATGACTGGGATAATTCTGAAATTGATATCACAAAAGGCCTCTCATTGTAAGACACTCCTTTTCTCTGACCTCATATCGTTGTTGAACCTCTAAATAAAGACACCAAAACCGACAGGACGGAGATGCCTGCCTGGTGACCAGAAAGAACCTCGGGGCTCTCTCACCCTCTCTCGCCGACACCGTCGGTCCTTCAGGGACCCCTGGACCTGCCGGAGCCCGCGCGGCCTCCGGCAACCTTGCCCATTGACCCTGTCCGAAACAGGCCGCCCAGAGGAACATTCCAGCCCCTGAGTCTCGCTCAGGCCCCAGCGCAGACTCGGGCACAGGCCCCTGAAGGCCCCCTCGGGTCTGCGCTGGCACTGCGAGGGGCACTGCCCAGCCTGGAGGCGCGGGCACCGACCCGTAGGGAGCAGGACCCGCGTTCCGCAAACGTGAGTTCATCTCGTAAAATCAACAAAAGTAGCAACACCTAGGATCTAACCTCAGCAGGTGCACACGCTAGTCCTCTTGATGCGCGTCCTCCCTTCTCCCGCTCAAGCTGGGGGGCCCGGCTCACTCGCAGCGGCCCCTCCCGCCCTCACGCCCCGGGCGTCAGTACGGCGACGGCTCCTGGGTCCCAGGCCCCGGGGCCGCGGCCCAGCACGCGCGCATGCGCACGCGCGGCACTCCGAGCCAGCGCCCCCTGGGCCCGCGTGCGCGGGGGTCCCGGGTCCCGAGCGGGGCAGGCAGCCCGCGCAGCCTCCCGCCGGGAGCTGAGCGCTGCACAGCTTCCAAAGCGCTCGTGTCACGTGATCTCATGTTGTCCTCAGGACAACTCGGCTGATTCTCACCAACCCCAACGAAGAAAGCGCAGAACTATGTTTGCATTGTAATTAGCGCGTTGCCCAAAACGGGAGTCCTCCTCTGGGAAGGAAACCGTTCTTATCGCTGCATTTAGCTAGCCTGGTGTTCTTTGCAAAACCAGCCCACGGCGCACACTGTGAGCGGCTCGAATCCACTCTAACCCGGAGCGCAAGCATGTGTGGACGGTAAGCTGGTTTGCAGAGAGGGCGTTGATGCCCGCACGAGCCACCTGCACGAGGCTGCAGAGGCGGTCAGAGCAAACTACCGTGTCATCTTACCGTTTTCGCCAGACGTCTTGTCTTTTCCATTGGTTGCCCCGGCACCTTGTCGCTAAAGACAAAAAAATAAGAGAGAGAAAGAAACTGTTATCAGATATATTCAGGATTATTTTTATCTCTTCTGGTGTTGAAAATATCTGTTGCATTATATCACTGTCCTATGTTAATTTTTTTTTAGCTCAGGTGGTTAAAATATGGTGCTAATGACACCAGGAAAGGGTCAACCCCGGGAAGGAACCGTTCAAGTTGCACAGACTGCCCCCCTCACCCATATCCACGGTACACCAGATGGGAAGCTATTGTTGATGGAGGAAAACCTCATCTGGAATATGAGAAGGACAGCCAAGACCTTGTGCCAACTGTCAAGAAGATGAGAATTGTCGCTTTTGCCAGTGATAGCTATTGTCATTCCAATCACAATGTCCAGGGTCTTATTGTTAAGAAAATGTTAATGGGCTAATAACGTATTATGTTTAGTCAGTTTCTCCTACTGTTGAGTCACCTTTCTATCATTGTTTAAGCCTACCCTGTGCATTTTCATTTTACCAGGTTGACCAGAAGTATGAAAATTTTATGGTCAGTCTTGGGTCGTTGGGCAAGATTCTCTGGCTGCAAGATCTGGGGAGCTGTGGGAAATGCACTACACACGTTGATAAACAAGCATGTTTCCTCAAAGCTTATCCAACTACCATCTTTAACATCATGCTCAGAGCCGCTCTAGTCCACGGAGAGAGAAGTGTCATGTCAATCCGATTTTCTGGTCATTATCAGAAAACGTGCTTCAAGTTGAAAAAGATTGAAGAGATGATAAAGTCTCTAACTTTCAGGTGAAGAAAACGAAGCAAGGAAGGGAGCCTGATTTGTCCAAGGTCAGGAGCTAGTTGGTAGCACATCGAGACTACAGACAGATCTTCCATAACCAGAGGCTAGCGTCTTGCATGGATCGTCACTGTTACTAACTATTCAGATAGGATCCTGGAAGGAGAGGCAAAGCTCTAAACAAAGAGAAAACCACTATAGATGACTCTCAATGAAGGATAAGGATAGCCTCAAAATTTATATTTGGGTCTAGGACCCCAGCCTAAAAACAGTATCATAAAAATAATTATCAGCTCCCATTAGTGTTCAATGTTGCCATAAGAAATTCCCAGATCCTTAGTCAAGCCTTGATGGGCAGTAGAGGGATCATCTGGGAAAATCTTGCTTTCAGGTTCTAATTAGTGTCAATAAATCGGGTAAATGATAAAGACTCACGTTAACCAAGTGAACCATCCCTACACACTCCTGTGGCCTTGTGCGGGTGATTACTTAGGAGACTGGGGCAAAGCCACGTGTCCCAGTGCTTGCCCAGCCCACCACACACCCCACCCCAGTCGGTGTGAAGTGCAAATGCCCACCCAATTCAGGGGTGCTATGTCCTGTTCTGGGAAGTAAACCACTTCTCTGGGGCAGGAGGTGGAAGGAAAGGCCACAAGTTGGGAAGATTATATAAACACGGGCCCCTTCTTCGTATCTAATTTAGAATATCTTGAATTTTCAGAATGCTGGATCTGCCCACCTGTTCTTACAGAGAAAGGCTGCACTTGTTTTGTTTTTAAATTTTTTTTAATGTTTATTTATTTCTGAGAGGGAGACAGAGAGAAGGACAGAGAAAGTGCGAGCTGGGGAGGTGCAGAGAGAGAGAGGGAGACACAGAATCCGAAGCAGCTCCAGGCTCTGAGCTGTCAGCACAGAGCCCGACTCAGGGCTTGAACCCACGAACCGTCAGATTATGGCCTGAGCTGAAGCTGGTCGCTCAACCAACTGAGCCCCCCAGGCACCTCAAGGCTGCAGTTGTTAACCAGACGTCAACTGTTCTTCACCAAACGTCATGTAGGGCCCATGCCATGGCCACTTTACCTGAACAGTCAACCAAAAATGTACATCATCCCATTTAAATATATTACATAATACTTAAATTGAGTATGTTTACAAGTAAAACACCCCTTGCTTTTTGTGTGTGCTTGTTTTGAGGTCCCCTTGTCAACCACAAGGCTGTGAGGTGGCCTCACTGGAGGGAATGGGACCTCCAATGTGGAGGATCTGGCTGGTTCTGCAGCAGCTGCTGGTGTTGGAACTACTCCAGTGTTTATACCCTCCATCCTAACCCTCATAATCCATAGATGGGTCAGGGGGAAAAGCAAATTTCAGAGAAGAAAAGGACAGGGTTAGAGAGCTGAACAAAGTCACGTTAAATGGCATATGAATAGATGCACACTCAACCCTCGCTGTCTTTAAAAACCTTAAACACTGACACCTTTCAAATGTCATGAATACCTCGTTCCATCAAAGATCACATTTTAGAAACCTGAGGAAATCCAACATGAAATGTGCACAGGGGAGAAAAGGAGTTCATTTTTTCAAGATTTCTGAGACAGGGGGTTCAGTGTCAGGTCTTACATGATGGAGGCAAAAGGAAACTGATGGATGTCATGAGAAATGATCAGAAAATGATCCTGACAAAAAAGAACTATTCACCGGGAGTATCTCTTTTCAAAATTCTCTGAGACCTTGCAGCATTTCTCAGGGAAGGCTGAGAGCAGTGGGGAACAACCCAAGAGCTCCCCTATTCGGGGGGTCTATGGTGTTCATCACACATGACTATTTTGTCACCATGATTCTTGCTGTCTGCCCCTTGTCATGGCCTTTGGCACAGAGACTCCCATTCAGGTCCTCTCCTGGTCACCTCCAGCTCCCCCCGCCCCCGCCCCTAACAACTTCACATTCATAAAACACTCCTGTCTGGGACCCTTCACTGCATCTTGTCCCACCACACGCGCAGAGCCTTCTTCCGTGCTCTTGAAAGTGTCTGTAAGAGTAACAGACCCTTCCCTCTTCGGACATCTGAAATCAGCATCCCCGCTGCTCAAGCCAGCTCTGTGCCCATCTGTCTCCTCAGGCACAATGGCATTCTCTCTTCCAATGTATCAAGACAGTGTCTCTGTCATCATCCCCAAGACCTCTTGAACGGACAGAGGGTCTCGTGTGAGAAAGCTTCCACTGAATTTACCTTTACGATCACCAATACAAAAACTACTCAGCATATGAGAACACAGACGCGGTTTCCTGAGAACTGCCTCCCCATATGGCCCTCATTCCACCATTAGGAAATGCTAAACAGGGGCGCCTGGGTGGCTTAGTCAGTTAAGCGACTTTCGCTTAGGTCATGATCTCACGGTTCGTGGGTTCGAGCCCCGCGTCGGGCTCTGTGCTGACTGCCAGCTCAGAGCCTGGAGCCTGTTTCAGTCTTTGACTCCCTCTCTCTCTGACCCTCCCCTGCTCACGCCGTCTCCCTCTCTCTCTCTCCTAGAAATAAATAAAACATTAAAAAAAAAAAAAAGGAAATGCTAAACAGCCATCAGAGGATGCAACATAGCAAACCGTGGTTACAGCCCTGAGCCGACCTTCTGTAGTACAGGCTGCCGGCAGGCATTAATCTGCAGATTCACTCCAGAATCTGCAGAGAAGCATGGTGAAGACGGGAGGGAACGGGGCATAACCAGTGCCAGAGAGGACTGTCCTCAACCTCACACACACCGGCGTCTCCGAGGGGAGGGTGTCCTTCCCAAGCGATGTTAACTAATAAAAAGCTACATGTCAGAATTTAATCAACTCCCAATTAAAAGGAGCCTAAATAAAGGCTGGGTATGTGATAGTTTCTTCTGAAAATCTAGTACATGCCACGTATCCATAAAAAGGCAGGATTGGTATTTCAAGGGATAAATTTTGAAGGAATTTTTCTGACAGTCCCGCTATGCCAAGGGCTATAGGAAAATAACAAAGAATCTGTCTTCATTTGGTTTCCCAGAAAGCAGAGCCTGAGGCAAATGCCTTTTGCACTACACTTTGTTGGAGAAGGAGGAAGGAGAGAAGGCGGACCCATCCTCAAGGGGGCTTGCCAGGTGCACCTGACACTGACCTTGCCTCTCTGAGAGCTGTGTGACCCAGCGGACGCCGGGAGGAGGGGTAAGCGAGTGCTCAGCCAGCTCTTGTCCCTCACCAGTCAGAGCCACGCCACCAAGCGTCAGTTCCTGATGCTTCTAGACTGGGAGATGTCTAGAAGCTGGAATCTGTCGGGGGATGAGGAGAAGCTCCAGAGCAGGACATACAGAGGTGGAGACACCTGGCATGGCGGGAGGTGCGTGCTGTCCCCTCACACCTCCCTGAAGGCTGCGGAGCCCATGCTGAGCTGGCCACCCACGGGATCCTCACCGACAGAGCCTGAAGTTACATCTGAGAGGTGTCTGACTCAGCACATACATTTGTCTGGCCAACTCTTTATACCAAGTTGCAAAATCACGGACCATCCCTTTATATTAGATACTCCACTAGCAGAATAGGCCACAACTACTTTCCAGTAAATAAGTGGCTCTGGACCCATTTCTTCCTGCACTTTGAGCTTAGAGTGGAGACTAAGGTATGTCTGACCACATGCATGCCACATCTAGGGATGTGCACACATCACTAGTACCTCTGTCCTAATGGTACCAGCTTCAGTAGGAAATAGGGTGATGTCCCAGCCTTCATGAACAGACCCAGAAACAACTTTATTGCAAGGTGGTGGTAAAATGCACCCTTCCTTTGAAAATGAGTGACTGCATTATTCCTCAGTCCTCTATTCTTCCTTGTGAGATACAGTACAAAATTCTGGTGTTCTTGGAGTAGCCACCATTGGGTAATGTGAGTGAGGCATTCACAACAGACACAGAATGTAACAGGGCACCAAAAAAGTCATTAATTAAGACAAACACTACCTGGGATCACTTATATGTGGAAAAAGAGAGAAAGAGAGAGAGAGAGGGAGAGAGAGGAAGAGAGAAAGAAAGAAAGAAGAGAAAGAAAGAAAGAAAGAAAGAAAGAAAGAAAGAAAGAAAGAAAGAAAGAAAGGGAAAGAGAGAGGGAGGGAGGGAAAGAAGGAAGGGAGGGAGGAAATGAGGAAAGGGGTAGAAGGAGGGAGGGAAGAAGGAAGGGAAGGAGGGAGGAAGACAAACTCAGAGAAACAGAGTAGAAGGG